CTCATATGTGGAATATAAACCAACACATGGACAGAGAAAACTGGACTGAGGTTACCAGGGCAGTGGGGGTGGGGGGTGGGCACAAGGGGTGAAGGGAGTCATATATGTGGTGATGGACAAACAAAAATGTACAACCCAAAATTTCACAATGTTAGAAACCATTAAAACATCAATAAAAAAAATAAATAAATAAAGTTAAAATGTTTTCTATAAGATAATAAAGCAAAGAGTAAAAAGTAAAATGAACAACTAGTTTGGGCAATGAGTTTGTGGGAGTTCCTTATTCTGGCAACTCTTCTGTAAATTTGTATCAAATTATATCAAAATAATAAGCTACCTCCCTCCCCCATAAAGTCTTCTATGGCATGATGCCAGAGAAGATTGAAATATTTTTTGGTGAAAACACTTATATTAAAGCTATTAGGGAAAATTACATTCTGCATTTTTCCTTTCTAAACTTCACCCTACTACTTATCCATTCAACTAATATAAAGAAAAAGATGCCATTAAAAAGTTCATTTATGGGCCGGCCCCGTGGCTTAGCGGTTAAGTGCTCGCGCTCCGCTACTGGAGGCCCAGGTTCAGATCCCGGGCGCGCACCGACGCACCGCTTCTCCGGCCATGCTGAGGCCGCGTCCCACATACAGCAACGAGAAGGATGTGCAGCTATGACATACAACTATCTACTGGGGCTTTGGGGAGAAAAAAGGAGGAGGATTGGCAATAGGTGTTAGCTCAGAGCCGGTCTTCCTCAGCAAAAAGAGGAGGATTAGTACGGATGTTAGCTCAGGGCTAATCTTCCTCACAGAAAAAAAAAAAAAGTTCATTTATATTCCATATGCAACTGAGTTCAATGTGAATGGAAAAATCAAACTGCTTTTATTTCCAACATCTAAAATGACAACACAAACAACGAATATAATACATCATTGAAAAGATTACCTTCTCTTTTTCTGTTGCCACCAGGGAAATAGCCAGACCCATCCTGAAAGATTTTAAGTCTTTATTAGACTTTACTCCTGAAGCACAGAAGCTTAAAAGGGAAAACAAAAGTTACAGCAGTACCTTTCAGCTCTTCCTACTCTGCCAATTCGATGTACATAGTTTTGCTTTTCATCAGGCAAGGTGACATTTATAACTGTAAACAAAAACAATTATTACCAATTGCCAATAGTTTCTAAAATTTTGAAACGTATTAGACATCTGACATTCTAAATATTTCTAACATATTAGGTGGTTTACTTTAAATTCCACAGAATTCAAACTGCAGGCATAAAAACTTTCTTTTTACCATAAGGAACACCATGGATATCAATTCCTCTGGCGGCTACATCTGTGCAAATCAAGAATCTTACATCTCCTTTCTAAAGAAAACAGAGAGGAGAGAAAGGAATTTATTAGTAGGTACACTAAAAAATAAACACAAATACTATCTTTCCACTAAATGAGACCTCTAATGTGGCACCATCAGATTAGAGTTCCAGATATTCATAATTCACTGGACCTAGTCTTGCATTTTTAAGTTATGATCTGCTAAAATATGACATTTAAGTGAATAAATCATTGGATTCATTTTTACTTTTCTTTTTTCTTACATCAAAGATATTAAACCATTGTTAAAATTTAGCTTTATCTTTAGAAATCCTGACTGGGTAATCCAAAAGAAAGATAAAACAGAACAAAACGTAAAAATAGAAGCATTATCTTTACTCTTGTATTAACAGAGAATGGGCCCCTGGTGCTCTCAACAAGGAAGTCCCAAGTAGCCTTCAGATGTTATTTGTGCCCCAAGGCACGGCAAAGTGTGAGATTCGGAGGAGGGGGGAGGGCATACTGACTTCTGGTCCAGTACAACGTCCAGGATAGAGAAGGGTGACACACATGCTGAAATCCATGTCAACTATGCTCAGCATGGAAACAGAATCCAAAGTTCCTAAGTCCAGTACTTCCCCTCTTTTCTCTCATTATGGGTCTGAGAGAAAATACCTGTACTCTACACTGAGGTAAACACACAGTAGTAAATGGAGAACGAGATTGCTTCCGGGTGGAGGCTACTGACCTTGAGTTCTCAATGGCTCAAGCCCTACCCACCTATACCCAGAGCTATATAATCTGTTCATGCGCTAAGAGCACATAACTGGGATGGTCTGGCCCAAACATTTCAAAACATATTTAATTCCACGAAACCATATTCTGATACTCGTCTTAAATTGATCTACAAATTAAGTTCTCTATCGGTATTACTACAAACTATTTAAAAAAAAAAAAAGCTCACAGACATGGTTTAACTATCCAATGATGCTTCTCCTAAAAATATCTACCTGAGAGAATTTAACTAAAACTTCCTTAAATTGAAAATTCTTATTGCAGTAGTGTTGTGCTGATAGAGAACACTTAATTTACCACCTGACTGTTAAAGATGACTAAGCCCTGCCAAGATGAGGACATACCATAGGGTAGAAATATTTTGAAATTTCTAGGACAAGAATTGCTTTAATGATACTAACTGAGGGCCAGCCCCGTGGCTTAGCGGTTAAGTGCGCACGCTCCACTACTGGCCCAGGTTTGGATGCCGGGCTTGCACCAACGCACCACTTATCTGGCCATGCTGTGGCAGCGTCCCACATACAGCAACTAGAAGGATGTGCACGTATGACATACAACTATCTACTGGGGCTTTGGGGAGAAAAAGGGGAAAAAAAGGAGGGGGATTGGCAATAGATGTTAGCTCAGAGCCGGTCTTCCTCAGCAAAAAAAGAGGAGGATTGACATGGATGTTAGCTCAGGGCTGATCTTCCTCACAAAAAATAATAATAATAATAATAATAATAATAAATATAATAATAATAATTAAAACTAGACACAATGCCCCTTTTAAGTATTAAGGAAATGCAGTTAACTCAATATCAGTACCTTAAATCTTTCCAAGTTTTGCTTCCTCTCATGAGGCTTTCTGTCACCATGAAGACAAACACATGAGAACTGGTGTCCTTTTTTGTCAGGTCCTAGTGAAAAGCACATTAAACAGTTAACCTTGGAAAAGATTATGCCTAAGACTATGTCAAAATAAACCCAGTAACATTCACACTACAATGATACCATGTAATTCTATGGAAATCTATACCCCAACTTGCCATAAACCACGGTTAACACAATTTCTGTCATAGGTGAAATGCCATTAAAATGACTCCATGAGGGGCCAGCCCGGTAGCGTAAGCGGTTAAGTGCGTGCGCTCCGCTGTGGCGGCCCGGGCTTCGCCGTTTCAGATCCCGGGCGTGCACCAACACACCGCTTGGCAAGCCATGCTGTGGCGGCGTCCCATATAAAGTGGAGGAAGATGGGCACGGATGTTAGCCCAGGGCCAGTTTTCCTCAGCAAAAAAAAAAAAAAAAAAAGAGAGAGAGAGAGAGGAGGAATGGCAGATGTTAGCACAGGGCTGATCTTCCTCACAAAAAAAAAAAAAAAAGACTCCATGAGCATTAAAATTGATTTGCTTTGAAGGACACTTTAAACCACCCTTCCTGATCTGCGGGAGCAGATAAAGCAGTATGCCAACTAAAACGCATTGTATGAGGAAAACGTATGCGTAGACCAGGAACCTCACCTATCCCATGTAAAGTGAAGAACCAAAAAGTAGACAAAAGGGATCACTCTTAGAAGAACTAAAATGAGCATTATGAAGTTCATGCCCTTACTACGAGGCCATGTCCACAAGCCTGCTCTCCCCAAGGTGTTCTAAGGTGTTCCGAGCCACTTAGTTATCTGGTTTCCTGGCCAAAGCAGATTAGAAGAAGCAAATTGGAAGGATGGAGAGGTGCTACTTTAGAGGCAGGTGCAGTGGTAGCCTGCTAAAAAAGAAACTTCAAATAGATACAGTAACAAAAAGCAGTGCACTCTGGACCAGAACAAGGGCAAATGGCCTTGTAGAACTCAACAGAACCTGTACGCACCACTATGAGAGAGCCCAGAATAACAACTATGCCACTTTACTCTCCATAGTAAGTTAGGTTCAATAAAATATACTTCAGAATTCAAGGAAACAATACATTTTGAAAGATATGCACCCAAAATGACTAACACAAAAACTAACTATGCAGAGGAGAAATAACAGCTAACCAAAACTTCCAGAGGCTTACAGCTGAGGGCTTCTTGCATTCTGAACTCACACAGTTTAGCAAAGTATCACATACATACTCCCACCCTCTGGTTGAGGGGTGTGCAGAGAGGAGACAGATCCTTTATTCCCCTCTCTTAAATCCCTGAAATCTGGTATATATTGTGTTATTTTGGTTTTAGTAATGGTTTGGGAAACTTGTTTTCTATGCAGAGGTAACCAGAATATTTAGGGAAGGAAGGTAAAAGGATCTAAGGAATATTACTGCTTGATCAACAGCACTCCTAACTACACAATCAAATCCTCCATTCAAAACCAACGTGAACAGGAAGAAATATTTATTACAAAACAGTCACTACAATTAAAACAACCAAGCAAGTCTAGTTGCTAGGACTTGAAAAAAAAATGTTACTGAACTGTTCACTGTAATGAACCATGTAATGTGTTCTCTATATGACCATTGGTTCAAACTTTTAAATTGTTCAAATTTTCCATATCCTTTTTGAGTTTTCTAGCTCCTTGAGGTACGTTAATTATAAAAAGAGGTATTCAAGTCTTTGCCATTATGAGAGCAAGATTTGTCTATTACCCTGTACATCTGTCAATTTTTATTTTATATATATACACATATATATATACATATATTTTTTTCTTTGGTGAGGAAGATTGGCCCTGAACTAATATCTGTGCCAGTTTTCCTCCATGCTCTATGTGGGACGCTGCCACAGCATGGCCTGATGAGCGGTGTATAGGTCTGCGCCCAGCATCCAAACCCACGAACCCCAGCTGGTGAAGTGGAGTGCGTGAACTCAACTACTACGTCACTGGGCCAGCCCTAATTTTTTTTTTTTTTTTTTGCTGAGGAAGATTCACCCTGAGCTAAGATCCATCACCAATCCTCTTCTTTTTGCCTGAGGAAGATTGGCCCTGAGCTAACATCTGTGGCAAATCTTCCTCTATTTTGTATGTGGGTTGCCACCACAGCATGGCCACCAATCAGCAGTGTAGGTCCTGAACCCATGCCGCCAAAGCAGAGCGTGCTGAACTTAACCATTAGGCCACCAGGGCTGGCCCTACTTTATATAATTTTTCCAACATTTATTGTATTTTCCAACATTTATTGTATTTTCAAACATATTGCAAAATTCAAAGAATTCTAACAGTGAATAACTAACTATACAGTCATGTGTCGCTTAACAATGGGGATACGTTCTGAGAAATGCATCATCAGGTGATGTTGTCATTGTGCGATCGAGTGTACATACACAAATCTAGATGGTGTAGCCTACTACACACCTAAGCTATATGGTACTAATCTTATGGGACCACCATCATATATGAGGTCCGTCGTTGACCAAAACGTCATTATGCAACATGACTGTATTCTCACCACCTAAATTCTACTATTAACATTTACTGTATTTGCTTTACCACATATCTATCTATCCCTCTATCCTTCTATCAACTCATTTTTATATTTTTGATGCATTTCAATGTAAATTGCAGATATCAGTACACAGTTTAGCATGCATATCATTAACTAGAGTACAGTATCTGTTTAAGTTTTTTTGTTTTCCTTGAAGTAACAATTACATACAAGGAAATGTACAAATTTTAAGTATACATTTGCTGAGTTTTGACAAATGCATACACCTTCTAGCCCAAAGCCCTATCAAAATATAAAACATGAATATCAGCCCACAAAGTACCTTCACGCCCTTTCCCAGTCAATCCCCATTCTTACTCTCCTAAGGACAATCACTGTTCTGGGTTTTTTTCTACCTTCATAGATTAGATAGTTTTGACTCTTCTAGAAATTCATACAAATGGAATCATATAGTATATACTCTTATGTGAGAATTCTTTCATTCAGCATAATGTTTCTGAGATTCATCCAGTTATTGTGTCTATCAGTGGTCTATTCCTTTTCATTGCTGAGTAGTATTTCACTGCACAAATATTTCACATTTTGTTCGGCCATTCTCCTATTGATGGCCACTTAGTGTATTTTCAGTTTGGGGCCATTATAAATAAAGCTGCTATGACCATTCTTGCACACAGCTTTGTCAGCTTTCTCTTATCTTGGGTGAATATTTAGGAGTTGGACTGGTAGGCCATAAGATAGCAATGTTTAATTTTACAAAAAATTGTTTTAAGACCTTTTACCAAAGTGGCTGTACACCAACACTGTATGAGTGCTCCAGCTGGTGTTGTATTTGTAACCTAGCCATTCTAATCAGTGTATAGTGGTACTATGCTGTGATTTTATTTTGCATTTCCCTAATGACTAATTACATTGAGCATTTTTTCATGTTGGTTTAAATGTTTGATGTTATTTTATAAGGAGCATAAAATTAGAATCATTATATCTTCATTGTAGATTGGGTATTTTTATTACATAGTGGCCTTTATTTCTAGTAATATTTTTGTATTAAAATGTATCTCATTAATACAGCTAGACCAACTTTCTTTTGATTAATATTTTAGCTGATACATATAAATATTTTGTCTTTCCCCTTCCTTTCAATCATTCCATGTCCTCAAGTTTCAGGAATGCTTCTTGTAAACAGCATATAGCTAGATTTTATCCAGTCTAACTATCTATGCCTTTTAACAGAAGACTTCAGTCCACTGATACATATTATAGTGTTTACTCACATACTGGAGATTTTTCCACCAGCCACCTTACTCTGTAATTTCTAACCATTCTGCTTTTTCTAATTTTTTTCCCTTTTTCTTTCTTAGCGTTTTTTAGATTAATGTTTCTTCCTCATTTACTGGTTGAGAAGATATATATTTTATTATTTAACGATCACACTTGAAAATTTTAACATTAAAGTTAATCAATAATGTTACCCTTCTTCCAAATGACATAAAGGCCTTAGAATGCTGTGATTCATGTTCACTGTAATGAAATTATACCTCTGTGGAAAATCAGCTCATTGTTTTTCCTAGGGCTTATCATATGGAAAAGTAGTGGATGAGCAGATACTTAAATGCACCATCATTGCTTTAAATTCTGAGCATGCATTCTAGACTCCATCAACGTGAGACTAATAATCTATTAAATGAGGAAATAAATACAATTTATTTCAAGCAAGGAAACATTACCTCCGCCTTGTTGCATAAAATACTGCTCCAAGTTATCACAGTCAATTTTTGTTCTACAAAAAATAATTGCTTGATCCATCTTGTGTTCCTTGATTGCCCGGACAGCATACTCCCCCTTCAGGATTTTAATAGCTTCAGACCACATCTCTTGAATACCACATAACAACAAAAGAGAATTTCAATTTGAAATTGTCATAAACATACATAATTACAGTCAAAGACTTACTGCTTAACTCACTTAAAAAACTCTGCTTTAACACAAGTATTACAGACAAGAATAAGAAATAAGAAATAGGGTGAAATGGTGAGATAATCCATTCACTCATTTATTTTTGTTTCTGTTAATATTTTTTATGCCAGGTTATGGGATAACAAAACACCTATAACCATACCTCTTATGACGGAAAAACACACGTATACACACACACAACCAGAAATACATACTCACAACAAAACTTTGTTCTTACCTCTCATGGAGGACTAATCATATTCTGCCTTGCTTATTAACTCATTAGCTCATTAACTTCCCTAAATGCTCAATAAATGTTTACTCAATTATTTTAACCCCTCTAAAAAATAATTAAAGTACTTCCTAAATCAATCTAAACACCAGAAAGTTCATACTTCACTCTGTGGAATAAAAACTGCACATCAAACCTAGTTAGTAATTGCTTAGTCACCATCCTCCAAATCTCCATTTTTCAGTGTGAAGCTGGGCTATAGTTACTCCTCAACTGTCCAACGCAAAATTTTAATTCTTTAACCCAACATATTTCTAAGGTCTCTTAGTTACCTCTAATTGTAGCATAAACTAAGCAAAACTTTTACAAGGAGAAACATATGAAGCAGTAAAAAATTTTATTTTATAAAATGCATTCCCCAACAGTAGCATACCATCATTTTCAACTAGCAGTGTCTCTGCTCCTCTCCAACAATAAGGCTAGTTGAGCATGCACCTTATAAATTTGGAGCTGCACACAGAAAACTGAGTTCAAAGGAACTCTCTTTAATCAAGATTGCAGATAATTCACCTTTTAGATACTTGTCAAAAACCCACCAATGAATCCAATCATGGACCAAATGCAGTCTAACCCTTTAAATGATCCACTTGAGACATCTGATGTCAGACATGCAGCCTAATGGGTTTAAGATCTATTCTAGGTTCTCTAAGATCTACACTATCCTTGTACCATGACATATCTTCATATATCTTTTTTTTTCTTTTTTGGTGAGAAAGATTAGCCCTGAGCTAACATCCGTTGCCCGTCCTCCTCTTTTTGCTGAGGAAGATTGGCCTTGGGCTAATATCCGTGCCCATCTTCCTCTACTTTATATGTGGGATGCCTGCCACAGCTTGGCTTGATGAGTGGTGCGTAGGTCCACACCCAGGATCCGAACCTGTGAACCCCGGGCTGCCAAAGCAGAGCATGCAAACTTAACCACTACATCACTGGGCCAGCCCCCCTTCATACATCTTTGAAATATTATGTATCTGAAATAAACTATCTCAGCTCTGCACAGAAGTAGCTTCACTGAATCAAGATTTAATATTAGGCTTTTTAAAAATTGATAAATATTTAATGATATGGAGTTTCAGTTTGAGAAGATGAAAAAGTTCTAGAGATGGATGGTGGTGATGGCTGCACAGTAGGAATGTACTTAATGTCATTGAACTGAACACTTAAAAACGGTTAAAATGGCAAATTTTATGTTACATGTATTTTACTACACACAAAAAGAACCAATAAACTATTTCAAGATCATTTCTGTACCTTTCATAAGGCTGTAGCTATTTTCCTTTGTTACCCAATTCCCTGATATAAAGGATCTACATGACATTTCTCCTGGAATTCAGGGCCAATATAAAATCTGTTACCAAAGAAAACTGCTGGTCAATGAGAATTCTATAATCCAAAATATTTGTGACTTGGATGCCAGGAGACTAATATCTTAAATTCGGTGATTAAAATTCCTCTAAGTTGACTGCTATCAGCTTTTTACCCATTTCTTTATTATCTTTGCTGCTTTTATTTTCAGATTTCCTATTCCAATTTTGCAGGTCACCTCAAATCCTTCATGAGAGTAGACAGGGCATAAACTCAATAAAAAAATTTTATTTTCAAAATCTTTCAAAACATTTTATTAGTTCTTTTAACTTACCTGGACTGTTAGCACCAGGTCTTGTGTTATCTTTTGCATGTACTTCATCAGTCTATCAAAAGAAAAGGATAAAAAAACAGAGTAGTTAAGTAATGGTTCAGAACAGGTATCATTTTTATTATTATTATTTTTTTTTTTGGTGAGGAAGATCAGCCCTGAGCTAACATCTGTTGCCAATCCTTCTCTTTTTCCTTTTTGCTGAGGAAGACTGGCCCTGGGCTAACATCCATGCCCATCTTCCTCTACTTTACATGGGACGCCGCCACAGCATGGCTTAACAAGCAGTGCATCAGTGTGCGCCTAGGATCTGAACCTGCGAACCCCGGGCCGCTGCAGCAGAGCGCACACACTTCACCGCTATGCCACCGGGCCAGCCCTTTTTTTTTTTTTTTGAGGAAGAGTGGCCCTGAGCTAACATCTGTTGCCAATCTACCTCTTTTTTCTTTTTTCCTCCCCAAAGCCCCAGCACATTGTTGTGTATCGTAGTTGTAGAGTTGTAGCTCTTCTATATGGGATGCTGCCTCAACATGGCTTCATGAGCAGTGAGTAGGTCCACGCCCAGGATATGAACCAGCGAACTCTGGGCCACAGGTGCAGAACATGCGAACTTAATTGCTGTGCCACTGGGCCAGCCCCAGGTGTCATTTTTTTAAAGGGAGAATTTTATCTAACTTTATACTGCATCTCAGATATATGTCTCTATAACTTGTAGACAAAACCATTCTTCCGATTCAGAAAAACACTTTATTAACTGTAGGTCTAAGGCTAATCAATTTTAAATGTAATAATAAAAATGCAATGGTGGTTTTCAGAATACTGTGCATTTACAATCAACATATCCTTATTATATAAAGGTAAACCTACTAACTGGGAAAAATGACAAGATGGACACATAAAATTGCTTTTTAGGAAAACAATGCACATCAACAGGACACTAAAATACTACTAGAAATGGAAATCGTATTTTAAATTAGATCTATATATAGCTAATCCTATTTATTTATAAAAATTATATCAAGAAAGATGATTATAAAAGTAACTTTACAGAGAAATATAAAAGATGAGCCCATCACTTATTCCATGCCTTAGAGGCCTAAATTTTTCTGGTCAATGTGCAGGACTTCTTTTTCTTAGACAGGATCTGGTCTTTTTTTTTTTTTTTTTTTTGTGAGGAAGATCAGCCCTGAGCTAACATCCATGCTAATCCTCCTCTTTTTTGCTGAGGAAGACCGGCTCTGAGCTAACATCTATTGCCAATCCTTCTTTTTTTTTTTCCCCCAAAGCCCCACTAGATAGTTGTATGTCATAGTGGCACATCCTTCTAGTTGCCATATGTGGGACGCGGCCTCAGCATGGCGAGAGAAGCGGTGCATCGGTGTGCACCCGCGATCCGAACCCGGGCCGCCAGCAGTGGAGCGCGCGCACTTAACCACTAAGCCACGGGGCCAGCCCCACAAGATCTGGTCTTTAAGCATCACTAACAGCCTTTTTCTTAGATACAGGATCTGGTCTTTAAGCATCACTAAGAGCCCAAGGTTAAGCTAGTTTATGAATGCTTTATTCTCCACAAATGTCAACAGTATAAAGTACTTACTCGAATGTGGTTTTTTCCCAGCCTTTCCCAGAGTCTGTCAGTTTTGGGATTCACTGGGACAACAACATGGTGTACGGTGTCCGGAACAGAATCTTCTCCTTTTAAATCAACCCATGTGGGAAAATGCATTATCTTCTCAGACAGTTTCTTTACATCAAAAGAATGCAAAGTAGCAGAGCAAACAATCACCTAAGAATAAAAAAATCAAGATTTAGATAAACTTTTATTTCATAATAATAATTCTACCACATGAAAACTGACATGGGGCACAAAGGATGCTGACCCTGGAATCTGAAGACAAGGCCGACACCTGACACCGTAGCAAAGACTAGTGGTGTGACTCTGGGCAGGTTAACCTCTCTGAGCTGCAGTCCCCTCACCACCACAGAGATCACACTCTCTACTCCTCAAGGTCCTACACTAAGTCAGATGAAAAGGTTTCTGAAGATCTAAAGTCATAAGACACTATTTATCTCCTTCTCTTAAAAACCTCTCTCTCTCAAATTCTTCCCAAGAAAGAAGGAGGAGAAAAAGAAGAGGAGTATTTTAAGAAATAATTACTAAGGAAACAACTGTTTTTCAACAGCTCAAGATATTTTTCCTTCAAACAGGAAGCAGTACTCATAGTCTGGAATATAAACTCTAAATGCTCTGTAGAAAAAAAAAGCAACTAAGAATTTTCCCCATAGTCTTCTGTAACACCTAAATAATTTCCTCAAATTCCCTCTCCTTTCTTTTAAAAGCAACTTTTAAGACTGCTTCCTCTGTGTGTACTATTTAATCACGTAATGAAGAAAATGTTCATACCATAGTTAACTTAATCAGAAGACACTAAAACAAAATGTAAATGTAAAACAAAAAAAATTAAGTATTAATACATAACAATTGTCTACATGTATTTTAAGATGCTTTACTCATTTTATACCTGAAGTCTTTTTCCATCAGAGGTAATCTGAGGAATCTGATTGTGAATCCTATTTATAAAATCAGAGTAACCTTGAGAAAGAAGCCCATCCTGCATGAGAAACAAAGAAAACCATAAGTTTTTTAATCGGTAGCTAAATCTTTCTTTTCCAAATCAACTATAAAATTTAAGATATGGAAACTAATTCATATACATATATATCCCTACATTTTCAAAATGATTATTTTCTACTGGATATTTAAAGACAAGTTGTAAACTCAACTTTAAATTCCATGTGACTAAATTATGAAATAGCTGACAATAACCCAAAAGCCATACTTCAGTATTCTAAAATGAATATGAGAGTTAATACTCCTACCACATGCCCTTATGCATATGATTTTAATGTGAAAAATAAAAACAAAAAACTTTAGTGCTGAAAAACTACTTCAACCCATCCTGAAAATTATTTGGAAGTACGTCTCAAGAGCCACAAACACATTAATGTCCTTTCATACACTTCACATTTTGCAATTAAGACATAAAGTAATAATTTGTAACACGTAAAAAATTCATGTACAAAGATAGCTATTCGGAGTAAAAAACAAACCTATATAGGTAGTAACAAGAGTGGTTAAATAAACCATGAAGTATCCATATAATAGACCATTAGACAGCCTTTAGAAATCATTTCCAAATAATGACATGATATACTTAGAATACTATATTTAAAAAAAAAAAAGATTTCCCAGATTCCACATAGCTTGATTTCAACTACATAAAATAATATTTACATAAATATAAGAAGTAGATGAAAATATATCAAACTGGTAACAATGATTATCTCTGAGTACCGGAATCATGACTGAATTGTATTTTTTCTTCATCATTTTACATATTTTATCTCCAAAAACATAAGTAAACATTTTTTAAGAGCACGACTATATTTCAACATACAGCTTCATCCAGGACCAGGAATCTAACTTGAGATAAGTTTAGCTTTCCAGTTGACACCAAATCATCTAGTCTTCCTGGAGTGCCAACGACTATATCTACCTGAAAAATAGCAAAAGAAGCACCTACTGAAAAGTGAAGAACTATTATAATCACCTTAAAACAGCAACCAACAACAGTCTACTCATAATAAAAACATGCATATTGAAGTAGTCACGGTCAACTCTAAATTTGCAAAAAAAGAGTTATAGATAATGCCGTATTATCAAACTTGTATTTGGTTTGAAATTAACGTCAAGATTTTGGCAATTGATTTTGACATCCTTAACTGTTACATATAGACTAATATATAAAATTTGTATTTTCCCAGAGAAAATCAGATGAATTTATAGGAACTCTGAAATTAAACCAGGATTCAAATCCCAGTTCCACCATCACCCAGCTGTGTGACCTCAACTTATATAATCTCTGTTTCCATTTTTCTCTTTTTTTTATTTTTTCTTTTGTGTGAGGAAGATTAGCTCTGAGCTAAAGTACTTACCAACAACTTAACAACTTATCCGTCGCCAATCCTCCTCTTTTTGCTGAGGAAGATTGGCCCTGGGCTAACATCCATGCCCATCTTCCTCTACTTTATATGTGGGACATCTGCCACGGCACGGCTCGATAAGCAGTGTGTAGGTCTGGCCCAGGATCTGAACCTGCAAACCCCAGGCCGCCGAAGCAGAGCACACATACTTAACCACTACGCCACCAGGCTGGCCCCTCAATTTTCTCATTTTTGAAATGGGTAATACCTTCTGCTTTATAAGATGGTTGTGATAATTAAGAGACAGATACGTAAAGTACTTGATGCCTAGTGTGCCAGGGGCTTGAGAAATCTGGTTATAATTAATAATAATGATGATCTCATTGACTATCCAGGAAGACAATAATAATTACCATTTGTTAAGTGCTTATAATGAACAGGCACTGTGCTAACGTTCTACAAGTACTGTATCATTTCATGTTGCCACTAAGGAAAACACTACTATTATTATTCCTATTGTTAGATGAGGATACTGAAGTTTAAAAACTAAAGTCATAAGAACTTAGATGATACAGCCAGGAAGTACCCAAACTGGGATTCCAACTCAAAGTCCAAACATGAGAAAAGGTCTAATTCAAATAAGAACAAGTTTTATTTAACTTTTTATTACAAAAATTGTCAAAGATTCACAAAGAGAATAGTATGATGAACCCCTATGCCAGTACAAACAATTAACAATGTTTTCCATTGTCACACACACACACACACACACACACACACACACACCTTTTAATCAAGCCCATAGGAATACTGATTAGGAACATGGGCTTTGAAATAAGCTCTACCTGTAAGTTGTAAGATCTTGGGCAAGTTATTTAATATTTAGTATAAGTCAGTATAATGGGGAAGACTATCATCTCAGAGGGCTATTGTGAGAACTGAATAAGAAAATATATGTAACACATTTAGCAGTACCTAGCCCATTTCTATAAAGTAGTTAGTAAAGCTTAAGTATTTTTAAAGAGTGTATATGGATGTATGTGTGTGAGCACAAAAAAGGTATTATATAAAATCATTCAATAAATTAGACCATTCAAAACTTCTCCTCTTTATCAATAGGCATGAAAAATTACTTTTATTCTTTTTTACTTGTGTTCTGCACTCTAGACTAAAAACATAACTTTCTCCTAACAAATTTATCCCTATAGTCTCATCACTTCAATATCTCACTCCCTGAAAAAGGAGACTACTGTGTTGAATGGATTTTTAATTTGATCCAATATGAGGCATTTATATTCCCATGAAAAATAAAACAGACATTTCTGAAGCTATTGTTTCACTGTATTGATAACAATTAACAAGTCTCAGTTCAACCTAGAGAATATTAGCTGAAAATATGAAGATAAAATCTGTTCAATGTATTAAGAATCTACTATGTGCCAAGCACCGTGACATGTGCCATACAGAGCAATGAACAAAAGACCATCTGGTTCTATGTGTAACATTTCTTCACTATAGGATTCTAACCCACCATGTGAGTTTCCTCCCTCTTCAACTTCCATAGGTAAAGTCAGCATGAAAATAGATACCAGGTCTCTCAGGTTTAAAAAAAAAAAAAAAAGTCAGTTAAATTGGAAAAGCCTGAGAGAAACATTAACATGACTTGTATAGGGCCGGCCCCGTGACTTAGCAGTTAAGTGCATGTGCTCCACTGCTGGCGGCCCGGGGTTCGGATCCTGGGCGCGCACCGACGCACTGCTTCCCCGGCCATGCTGAGGCCGTGTCCCACATGCAGCAACTAGACGGATGTGCAGCTATGGCATACAACTGTCTACTGGGGCTTTGGGGAATAAAAAAAGGAGGAGGACTGGCAATAGATGTTAGCTCAGAGCCGGTCTTCCTCAGCAAAAAGAGAAGGATTAGCATGGATGTTAGCTCAGGGCTGATCTTCCTCACAAAAAAATAAATAAATAAATAATATGACTTGTATAATAGCACCAACTACTTCTTCAGGCCTCAACTGCACATGTTGCATAATTGTGCAACTTTTAAAAGATTAAAAAAATTAAATAGTTCTACTCTCTCACTCCAAAGCTGACTTCTGCCCCAGCATAAGACACAACAAAGGGCTAAGACTGAGCCAGAAGATGATGGGAGATAACAGAAGTAGAGAATATAAGACAGAAAGCTAAGAGCAGAAAGAGAACATCCTAGATCCCCTAAGTAGGATGGAGGTTGAGTCCTGCCAAGAAAGCTACGGAATAACACTGCCTTTACTTTGCTATTGGCTTCAGCCAGCACCAAATTTTAGATATGAATGATAAAAGCAGATCTAACTTTTTAAAAGCTCTACAGCTAGAAAAAATGAATTAAGAAACTTAATAACTTACAGCAGAAAAGGATTTGGGTTTGAGGAACTGAGATTTGGAATGAACATATTAAATCTACGCTCACTAAAATATAACACACCAAATAAGAACATATCAAAGCAATATTATCTTAGAATAGCATTAACAAGTAGAGTAATATGATTCCTTGCTCTTAACATGCCATTACCAGGTCAAATTTGAACCATTCAGCATAAAATTTCATTTAACAAGGGCACCAATGGAACTGGAGGGAGGACATATTTGCTCATCATGATTCAGTATCAGGTGGTTTAAGTTAAATGATAAAATATTTAGAGAAGGAAATGGAAGAGAAATGTGTAAGGAAAAAGTTAGTTCATACAAATAAAATATTTTATGAAGTCCCACCTATATTTAGCTTCCTAGAATTGATGAGCACAGTTAAGAATTTCTCAAACGTCTTCCCAAATAACGAGGATCACAGTCTTAGCTTTGTCCTTTATAAGGGCATGCATGAGCACAGCCTTTACGACTCCCCCTTACACGTATCTGCACTCATCTCCCTCCTACTGGAATCACAATTTTATCATCCTTCATCCTTTCCAAGGATCACTGCCAAAAACTTCTACATTCTCTGCAATCTACTTTACCTCCATTTCTATTCTTTAACTTCAGTTTCTTTTTCAATTATTCCCCAAAGAAATGACTCAATTCATGAAAGTGAGAAGGAAATTCTCAGGTGCTCAAAAGGTAAAACAAAAGAACCCTCACATGTGCTGGAATTTTGCAGGAGGGGTTTGGAAGAGACTAACGTGCTGTATACTTTTGGGAGAGGAGAGGCATACTTGCAAGATGTTTTTGTACAAATATATACTTTTTTACCTTGCTCTAATTTCAGCCTCATTTGATTTTTCTTGAAATGCAGCAGAACTATACTGCCAAAACAACAATCCATAATGTTACTTTTGAGAAATTAAAAGTACAACTTACCCCATTATCCAAAACTGAGAGCTGATCCCGAGCTGCAACACCTCCAATTATCAGAAGCTCCCTGAAATAAATACCAGAATCATAATGTAGGAAGATTCAAGTTTGCTTTATTGCTTGATTGGTATCCATTTCTTTTAGGTGAAAATTAAGGTTGAGTAAGTTGAGAAAGTAATTGAGTAACTGAGAAAGAATCTACAAGGAAAGTTTGGAGAATGATGGAAACAAAGCACTTCATTCCAGTAGCCATATAAACGCTACATCAGGGTAAGGTAACTGAGGAGAACATGAAAGCCTGGAACACAGAAAACATTAGTCCTCACCTACATATCATTCTATATTAGGATAATTCCAGGTGCTGCAAAACCTGGTTTCTATCTACCTTTCCAGACATATGTGGTTATATGTGTATAAAATGTCTCTGAAAGAATATATAAATATCAATTTTAAAAAAGCGCCTCTGGGGCCGGTCCCGTGGCTTAGCGGTTGAGTGCGCGCGCTCCGCTACTGGCGACCCGGGTTCGGATCCCGGGCGTGCACCAACGCACCGCTTCTCCGGCCATGCTGAGGCCACGTCCCACATACAGCAACTAGAAAGATGTGCAGCTATGACATACAACTATCTACTGGGGCTTTGGGGGAAAAAAATAAATAAATAAAATTATAAAAAAAAAAAAAAGTGCCTCTGGGTAGGATAACTAAAAACTGGGGGGTGGGGTGAAAGGAGACTTCCTTTTCACAGAATATCCTTTTGTATTGTTTGAATTTTTCTCATTCCAAATACTTTAAAAAAAAATGCTTAGGTTAAAAAAGATTGCCTTATGCCAAGACAATTCAATGGTGGGAAAGAACAGTCTTTTCAACAAATAGTGCTGGAACAAATGATACAAAGACGCAAAAGAATGAAGTTAAACCTCTTCTTATCGCATACACAAAAACTAACTCAAAATGAATCATAAGACCTAAAACTATAAAACTCTTAGAAGAAAACACAGGAGTAAATTGTCAGGACCTGGGGTTAGGCAAAATCTCCTCATATACAATGCCAAAAACAAAAGAGACAAATGAAAAAAATAGATAAGTTGGACTTCAACAAAATTAAAAACTTTTGTACTTCTAAGGACACTATCAAGAAAGTGAAAAGATAGCCCACAGAATGGGAGAAAATATTTGCAAATGATATATCTAATATATACTATTATATGTGTGTGATATACATATATATCAGAATATATAAAGAACTCTCACAACTCAACAATAAAAAGAAAACCAAATTGAAAAACGGGCAAAGAAGTTGGACAAACATTATAAATGGCCAATAAGCACATGAAAAAAATGTTCAACATCATTATCTATTGGGGAAATGCAAATCAAAACCACAATAAGATACCACTTCACACCCATTAGGATGGCTACAATCAAAAAGACAGATATTAAGTGTTGGTGAGGATGTGGAGAAAGTGGAATGCTCATATATTACTAGTAGGAATGTAAAACGGTGCTGTCACTTTGAAAAACAGTCGGGCAGTTCCCGAAAATGTCAACCATGAAGCTACTATATGGTCCAGCAATTCCACCCCTAAGTACATATCCAGGAGAAACGAAAATGTATGCCCACACAAACACTTGAACACTAACCTTCATAGCACAGTAACCAAAAAGTGGAAACAACCCAAATGTCCATCAACTAGTGAGTGGATAAACGAAAATGTGGTATATGCACAGAGCAGAATTCTTTCAGGCAATAAAAAGGAATTAAGTATTGATACATGCTACAACAGGGATGAACTTTGAAAACATTATGCTAAGTGAGAGAACGCAGTCACAAAAAAGCACATATTGTCCAACTCCATTTATATAAAATGTCCAAAATAGGCAAATCTATAGACAGAAAATAAATCAGTGGTTGCCTAGGGATGGGAAGATTAGGGAGAAATGGGAGTGACCACTAATGAGCAGTGTTTCTTATGAGGGTGATGAAAATGTTCTAAAATTGGTATTGGTGATGGTTGCACAACTCTGTGAACATGATAAAAACTGAAAACAACCTGTACACTTTAAAGAGTGAATTGTATGATATGTGAATTATATCTCACTAAAAGCTATTTACAAAAAGATTGTCTCCTTTTTATAAATAGCAGACAAAATTACTTCCTGAGGCAGCCAGATAACTTTCAATCCAAAGCATCTACCAAGTATCTTACTTTACTAATTTTATTCTTATTTGATCAGTCATTTAAAAAACATTAGAAAACACGAAGAAAGCAGATGATGTTAACACTGAGTCTTATAATTCCAAGACTCTGACTGAAAATCAGCTTTATGATTGCCTACCTTCATCTTAAGCAATTTAGATAGTAAAAGTAAACAAACAAAAGTTTTCTAGCCTATGGATGTCCATTACCTTGGCATATTCCCTCACCACCTGCCACTCTAGAGCCATTATGTTTCCTGAATCCGGTAACACCAAATGCCAGATTGGCTACATAGGAATCACCCAGAAGAGCTGCCATTCTTCCTTAAACCAACCAACAGAAACGTTCTAATTCCTATTCCTTGGAAATTCTGATTTAGTATATCCAGAGGAGGGAACCAATACATTTGCAATTTTAAATAAGGTCCCCAAGCTCCCAGGTTTGGAAACCATGGGTCTAAATCTATCATTTCTTCTCCTACAATACTTGACTCTTATCCACCTTCCTTACCAGATATATTTACCCCTACAAATTTAGCAGCAGATAACTATACACACACACAACAGTCCATGCTTGTGTGCAAAGCACTGTAGAGCTGAGGAATACAAAAGAACAGCCCCTGCCTTAAGGAGTGTAATACTAAACTGGGATGAGTAAAGCTATGCGTATTGAAAACAAGGAACACTGACACAAGGCAGCGTGTAAGGATTATGGCGAAGCATACACAGACAGGGGTATCGGAGGAGGGAGAAAGGACTGGACTGGTACAGACAGGTTAGCTTCACAGAAAGAACAGGACTCGAGCTGGGTTTTCAAGGAAGGAAAAGGCTCATCTGTACTGAATACCAAAATGAGTAACCCACAATTTTACCATCTTAACAAATAAATTGATTTTATTATTCATCATCCCTTCCAGCCTTTGTCCATAGGCACGTTAATCTTTACACACAGTTATAGGACAAAAAACAATTCACATTAGCATTTTACATTCTTCCAGAAACACTCTCTTCTGAAGAGTTTCCAGTCTCTTATACCAAGCAAATGCCTTGGCTATGGCCTCCTATAGTGACTTTCTCTATAGTATCCTCAAGGCCTTTTATCACACTCATTTTGTTGTTTCTCTCCCTCCACTCTATCCCCACACTCCAACACTTAATTCTATGACGGCAAAGACTAAATCTCATTGTTATATCCTGATCCCTAGCCTAAGACTTTACACATAGAAGGTATTCAAGTAGTTACCAAATGAGTGACATGCATCAATCCTCAAAACAAAATTGGGAATTATTTTACCTAAAAAGTTTTAAGTATAACTTATCCCTGAATAAGTTTAACTTGTAAGAAAGATCAATATTAAAAAGATGGGCCTGCATGATGTCAATAATTCCAAGTTTCTGAAATTAGATAGTGGTGATGGTTGCACAACCTGTGACTATAACTGAAAACCACTGAATTGTACACTTTAAATGGTGAATTTTATGGTATGTAAATTATGTTTCAATAAAAAAAGTAATTGAAAGCAAAATTAACAAAAATCAAGTGGCAAATCAACTGTATATATATGGCCTTCTTATATAGCATGGCCTTCCTCAAACTGAAAGGGATTGCTACTGAGCAAGAAGTTCCATAAGATCACTTAACTCATGGTCTCCCTCCAATGGCAGAAAGAGCCCTCTACCCAGATAGTCTGAAGGCCCAAATGGAAGAAGGTCACCACTGTGAGACAGGCTAAAATCAACCTTGCCAAGCTAAGTTTACTAACATGCTAGAAGTGATATGTTTTCTATGCAAATGAAGTTATAAAACTAACAATGAGTGAAATGCTTCCCTTAAAAATTAATTTTTACTCTGAAAGTGTTTTGCACACCATGACTCTTCATATAAGACACGAAAAAAATCTCAATTTTTTTTAATCAAACATCACTTAAACAGGAGTTTTATATACAAACTAATTGCTACTATATATCAAAGTTAAATATATTTACACACTCATACATGTAGGTATACACACTGAATTTCTACCTCATTTTTTTCTACCTTACAGTTCTTTCAAAACACCTCAAACCTAAAGACAAAAGGCATTCGAGCATGAAAGGAAGCTTTACCTTAATTTAGGATTATCAATATATTTCTTAAACTGCTTGACGTTATTCAAAGTTTGTTCAGCTAACTCTCGGGAGGGCTCGACGATGAGAGCTTTTGGAGCATTGGGAAGAAACTTTGTTTGCGCCACCTGCGCGTTACCTTAAAAGAATAAAAAAGATTAGAACACGTACAAATCACACCTCAAAATACCTTTATTGTAAAACATAAGCACAAATATTCGAATATCAAAATTTTAAATAACAATTATCAAAAAGTATAGGAGATAGTCAAACAAAACAAAATAAAGCTAAGAGTCCTAAAATGAACTAAGGCTTATTTAAATCTACTTGCAATAACTGCCATAGATTACACGCTTTGTGATAAAGTAAACAAGCTATGAAATGTCCTTCCTTTAAATAACTGAAAGAGGGGACGGCCCAGTGGCATATCGGTTAAGTTTGTGCCCTCTGCTTCGGCGGCCTGGGGTTCACAGGTTTGGATTCCAGGTGGGGACAGAGGCGTCGCTTGTCGAGTCAGGCTGTGGTGGTGTCCCATATAAAGTGGAGGAAGATGGGCACGGATGTTAGCCCAGGGCCAGTCTTCCTCAGCAAAAAGAGGAGGATTGGCGACAGCTGTTAGCTCAGGCCTGATCTTCCTCACACACACAAAAAAAAATTATTTAAAATAAATGAATAACTGCAAGAGATTACGCAGTATAATGGGTGAGAGTACGAGCTTTGGAGTCAGACTGCTCGAGTTTGAATCCGGTTCTGCCACTTGCTTACTCTGTGACCCCGGGCAAGTCACTTCAAGTCCCTACCCCTCAAGTCCTTTGTCTGTACGATGGGAAGAGTACTACCTCATAGGGTTGCTGTGAAGATTAAATAATCCATGGAAAGCACTTAACACAGTGCTGGCACACATTTCATAAATACCAGATACCATCATTATCATGATCGGGTTCCCCAAAATGCCTAAACTGAAACCAACTATTTAGAGCTTATGGATTAGGTTCTGAAACTGAATTTTACTGATGTGTTAAACAAAGATGTGTGACTAAACCAGTGAGGGGAGTATGTCTAACTAACCCACTGTGAGAAGCCTTATTTACCGGTGCTTTCACAAATAACCCATTCTTGAAACCCTTACCCTCTCAGGTGCAATACCTGAGTGCTGTGATTTGACGACATAACTGTCCAACGCCTTAGAAAGAGCAACAAAACCATCTTTTGGTGGAAACTTAAATTCTTCTTCACCGAAGTTAAATTTTAGTTCAGCATTCTGGCATCAAATAAAGGAGAAAATGAAAATTCTTAACCTAGTAGCAAACTAAACAATACAAAATAATTCAGATCAAAGTAGCTTATAATCATTGCAAAATTTTTCTAATTACCTTCAAAACGCAGGCAGGAAAGAGGGCTTGGTTCTTCATATGTGGTGGTATTTCAAATGCCAGACCAAGGTCTTTTCCTTCAAAAAAAAGAGAGAGAGAAGAAATTGCAACTACCAGAAAAGAACTTCTACATGCTCACCACCAAATCTACCAACTCATCTGCAGTCATGCTCCCCCTCCTGTTACCATAGATAAATTGTGCTGCCTCATGCTAACCTCTTCACTTTTTTACTTTACTCCTGAAATTATCCCCTGCCCCCTCCACATTTGTAATTTTTCTCTTCCTACCAGATCACTTCCATCAGAACTTCAACTAGACATTCCATATCATACAAACATAATAGCTCCCATATTAACACACAGATAAACCTCCTTGAACACAGATCTTCCTCCAATTACCTATTTTTCTTCTCCCTTTTTGTAGTAAAACTCCCTGATTTCTGTTTTCACTGTGCCCACTTCATTTCATTCCATTCTCTACTGAACTGATTCCCAATCAGGCTCTCCCCATTCACCCCTCGCTCCACCAAAACAGCTCTGTGTCAAGCTCATTAATGATCTCCACTTGCAAATCCAGTGGTTAATCCTCCTTATTCCTCATCTTCCTAGACTAGACTCATCAGCAGCAATGGACACAATCTGATTATTCTTTCCTCCTTCAAATACTTTCTTCACCTGGATTACAGGACCTCAATCTCTCTTGGTTCTCCTCCTCCTGGCTTTCCTCCTCATTCACTTCTCCTAGATTCTCCTCCATTTGCAGACTTCTAACCACAAGAAAACTGCAGGCCTCAGATCTCTCCTATTCTTTATCTATTCTCATTCCCTAGGTGATCGCGTCCAGTCTTACAGCTTTAAATATCATCTATAAGCCAATGACTCCCAAAGATACATCTCCAATCCTGATCTCTCCCCTGAACTCCTGACCTGCACACTGACTACTTACTTGATTTCACCACTTAGATGTCTAAAAAGTATCTCAAACTTAATATGTCCCAAATGGAACTCCTGGCATCCATCTGGTTCCCTGCCTACTGCCACCACCCACCCACCTGCCAGTCTGTTTTCAACACAGCAGCCATGATACTGTTAAACTAAAGACAGATGATGCCAATTCTCTACTCAAAATCCTAATGGCTTCCAATCTCACTCAAAACAAAAAGTTTGTATCACGGCCTATAAGGCCCTATATGGCCTGGGCTCACTACCTCACTGACCTAACATTCTACCATCCTCCCCACGTGCAGTGGGCTCCAGAGCCATTGGGCTCCTCCTTGTTACTCAAACACCCTAAGCACGCTTTCATCTCAGGGCCTTCACGTTTACTGTTCTCTCTGCCTGAAGTACTCTTCCAAGTATCTGCTTGGCCCAGCACCCAACTCATTTGGATTTCTACTCAAATGTCACCTTACCAGAGAAGGCTTCTCTGACCGTCCTGCATAAATGCCCACACCTGCAGACTGCTCTCATTCTTCATTCCCTCCCCGATTCACACTCTCTTTCAGTGCACTTGTCCTCACCTAACATATTACATATTCGTCTATCTCTCCCCACCAGTAGGTAAGCCCCAAAAACCTGCTTGTGTACTCCATTTTCCGCTATATCCCAGCATCTACCAGTGTGCATGGCACAGAGCAAACGTTCAATAAGTATTTGTTTAAAAGAAAGGGAGGGAGAGAGAGTATTGAAGAAGAGGGAGAGAGAATTAAAACATCACAAATACTGGATACCATATCTCTTCTCTAATAAGATGATCCATAGAAAACTTACCATTTTTGGAGAATTTGATATGCCCTTTATCTATATCTAGGTAACATCCAATGGTATCATGCATAGTGAATTCCTAGAAAACCAGAAAGTCAAGTGCTGTTAATAAAAAGCAAAATCGTGAAGTTAAAAGTTCATACACAGCTGCATCAAAAGTATGTGTTGGTGTTTCAAAATAATTCCTTAAAGCTCTAACGTACGTGTTAAAATGCCTATTACAACATACCGTATATAGAAGCGTCTGACAGGCTTACTAGAATCAACATGATATCCAGGCTCATCCACATTACTATAGATTTAGGCTCACCAGAACAAGTGTACTTAGATTCACCAACATTAAAAATAAGAAACGAGAATAACACGTGCATTCAAGTCAAAGCCAAAATCAAAATGAGGTGAAAACAGAAGACAAAAGTAATATACTTTAGAGGGGCTAATAAACGGCATAAAAGAAAAATATTTATCTCATTTTGTAACATTTCTTCACTGAAGTCCAAATCTGAACTTTCTGTGAAAAATATTAAGAAAATCCACCTGAATTTAAGAATCATTCCTATACCCTCAGTCATGTCATGAGTGATCACGTAAGCATGCAAGAAGTTACTGATGCTATGATTAAGTCAATGATACAACTTACCTCTCCATAATTATCAAATTGTTTATTATGGGATTTCTTTCCTGTTCCACCAAAGCCAAATCCAAACTTGTCAGTACCTAAATTTAAAAAATATTGTACTTACGTGGTGAGAGTAAATATAAAATTAAAAGCCCAATAAAGAAGTTTACAAATTTACAATAATATAAGCATCTATGCAGTATTGTGTGGTACCTATTTAAGAATAACTTTGCTCTGACTTCACTCACATTCTTAACCTTATTCTTCCTGATTTTATACTGTTATAATATGTATTTTTTGGTACTTCAAATCTTTTTTGAAACAGGATGGGATATAGATAAATATTATTAGTTCCATGTCTCTAAAATATAAACTTTGTATGGTTTATTATTTTGGTCCCCATTTTAATAAAATGTTAACAATCCACAAATATAAATCAATAAATTTCCTTTATTTTAGAAACACTTACCTAGGTCTAAGGAAGCCTGCATGGAAGACCACCCAACTCTGCATAATCCTTGGTCATGACAGGATACTTCATAGTAGTGTTTCCCTACAAGGGCAAAATACTTTGAGATTTACATAAATTACACACGTATGATGTACATGAATACATACAGATGTATGCTCCAAATGAAGAATCGTAGATCTTTTTGTAACATTAAAAATCTTTTCTGACCCTTGATTTAAAGCTATTTAAAGAAAGTTCATGTATTAATACATTACCTCAAAAGCTTATACAAGTACAAACGCTGTTTGAATACCTTTCGTTAATCCTTTTGTAGCTCTACATCCATGCCATTCCTTTACTTCTCTGCTTTGACAACAAAGACCATCTGACCCAATGGCTGGATTTAAGAAAAACACAGAAAATCATGTCAGTACAGATGATATAAATCATGCATGCTGAAATAAGTATTGTTCAGTCCTGCTGATAAGATAATTCCTTCATTTGCAGCAATGTTCCAGAGACTGAGACTTGCTGATTCCTGAGTGATAGCTATATCTTCCCCACGAGTAACTATCCTTCTTTCCCTGCAGGACCTTGGCCACGTTGGGGACTAGTTTCTACATTGTCACCTGTTAACTAGGACAAGATTTTACTGCAGCAAGTCTAGAAAGGAATCAACACAGCACATCCTCTGACTTGCACTAATTGTAGCTGCGTCATCAACATAAATGTGTTTAGACAACTATTCTCAAGCCCTTTAAAGAAATGGATACTCAAGGATGACGCAGCACCCGCTCACTCATCAATACTTGTAGCTCTGATTTTATGTTCAATTAGAGCTTGACAGAATACTATACTAAAAGGAAAACAAGAACTGTCTCTGGCTTGTTCCCCAATCCATGGACCCAGAAACCATAACGGGAAAGCAGGAAAAAACATAAATAAATAAACGATTGTTTATTTGCTGTCGATTGTTATTTGCTGATATTAGGACTCTAAAAGATGAAGTTCTCTATTGTACACCATGGTCAGTCACAGTGCTTACTGGTGTTTATTGGCTTTAAGGAAAGCATTTGGCTTTTGTCTATACTGGAAAGAAACTATAACTTCTGTCCTGGTTCAGGTTTGCAACTCAAATTCAGCACTTGAATGTAAAATGAACTTTTAAAAAAAAGCACCTCATCACACATTTTACTTCATTTAAATCATTTATTCAAAGTATAAATTCTTACTCATATGGGTACTACATTATATAAACTTTGAACTTTTTAAAAAGTTCTCTAGCAATGGCAAATCCTTAAAATTTTTATATTTAAAATTCTTTATGCATATATACAGGTATAAACTTTTAAATAAATTAGATATCATACAGTGGGGACAGAATTTTGGGGTTTGTTTCTGGCATGACTGCTCATGCCCACTCGACATTTCTCTGCATCTTGCTTTTCTTATTCATCAACACCTGGTGAAAATTCTTCCAAGTCACCTCTATGGCACTGACTCATGCTTTGTAATGGCTACACAATAGTCGTTGGATACAGCCTAATCTTTGTTAACCATTCTCTTAGCAATAGCACTCACTTTGTCGGCAGTTTTTATCATTACAGATAAAGTTGCACAAACATCTTGGATACTGGTGCTTTCATTCCAATCGGGTAGACCTTCCAGGAATATATATATTTTTAATAGGTAATGCCAAACTGCTTGAAAGGCAATATTCATAAGTTGGTTATCACTCTTTTGGATGCTTGCCAATGAGATGGGTATAAAACAACATCTTACTGTAACTTTAATTTCCATATCCCTACTGCCTGTAAACTTGATCTTTGCACATTTATTGCCATTTGGATTTGCTTTTCTGTGAATTGCCTATTCGTATTCTTTGCCCATGTTCCTTGCTGGTTTTTATCTCTTTCTTAGTAAAACAATTAACATTTTTATCTGCTATCTACACAAAACTCCCTTACCAATTTATAAGGACTCTTTATCTTTCATCGACATTGCAAGTATTCTTTCCAAATTTATTTTTGTCTGTTGACTTTTGTCTATGATATCTTTTCCACATATATTTTTCTCCAGTTTTAAACAAATATACCTATCTTTTCTTTTACAATTTCTGAGCTTCCTATTTTCGGTTAGGAAAATTCCCCAGGGCTTAAATTATACATGTAGTTTTCCATTTTTTTAATTTTTTATATACACACACACACACACATATTTATTTAAGTCCCAAATCTATTTAGAATTTTTTAATTATGATATAAATCAATTTTACGTTGCTCCAGATGGATCATCAATTGTGCCAGTGCCCTTACTGAATAAATCATCCCTTTTCCCACTGAAATATTTTTTTCTATACATTAACTTCTCATATATACTGGGATTTATTTCCATTATATTCCACTGACTTATTTATCTATTCCTATGTCAGTACTAAACTGTTTAACTGTAGCGACTATATTCCAACATCTCGTAAATTAAATCTTCATTTACTATTCTCTTTCATAATTTTCTTGATATTCTCAGCTATTACTAAAAACAAGTTTCTGAATCACAAACAAGCTGCTGAAATCTATTCACTTACCAAAAGCAGATCCTCTATCATATGGGTTCATTTGCCATTTGTTGAGCACTAAACAAAATAAGAAAAGTTACCCATAAACATGTGAAATTAAAAACTCTATAAAAAATAAAGCAAATATTTTATATTTTATATGATACTTTAATTCCTCTAGATTCAATATGGTTTTACACATTATGTGTAATATACGAGTAAAAGTTGCTGTTTTTATTAAAGGCGAAACTGAAATTGAAAACTGAAACATGTCAAAGATGATAATCACTGGCCCAGAGACAGCCCTGATGGCCTAGTGGTTAAAGTCCAGCACACTCCTCTTCAGCGGCCCAGGTTCAACTCCCAGGCGTGGAACCACACCACTCATCTGTCAGTAGCCATGCTGTGGCAGTGGCTCACACAGAAGAACTAGAAGGAGGACCTACAACTAAAATATACAACTATGTCCTGGGGCTTTGGGGAGGGGAAAAAAAAATAAAAGAGAAAGGAAGATTGGCAACAGATGTTAGCTCAGCACGAATCTTTCAAAAAAAAAAAAAAAAAAAAAAAAAAAACCCTACAACCTTGCATTAAAAAAAGAAAAATCACTGGCCCATCTGGGGCTAAACCCTTTTCTCCTCACTTGCCTTAGTGTACTCTGTATTAGATGGTGCTCATCTTTGTCATAACTACGAAAGGACTGATAAAATGAAGTTTTGGTAACTAAACAAGTTGACTTCTATCATAACGGAAATAAGTGACCAACATACTAGGATCTAATTAAGTATCATTTTATCATTATCAAAAGAAAAGTCTTTTATCGTAAACAATTCAATATCACAGTCAAAAATTACAAAATTTTTTCCTCTTCACTTTTATGGGATCAGCATTTTTCTTTTTTAAAACATCTTAATAGTTTATGGATAATCAAGGAATCATAATAGCTAAAGAGAATTCTACATGGTTTCAAGCCCAACTTCCCACCCAAGGTAGAAATCTTTTCTATATTACTTCTCTTCAAAAGATATCTATCATCTGCCTAAACACTCTGAATGATGGAGAAGTAACTTTCCCTCAAGGTTCTCTCTTCCACTGTGGCTTCAATCTAGCTAGTAGGAAGTTAAGTTAAACAGAAATCTTCTCTAGATTATTTCTAATTAGTCCTGGTCCTACTTTGAAGAACAATTATCTTCTCTCCAGATTCCCTCAATGACTTAACCACTATCCCATCTCCTTTTATACTTGTCTCTCCATGTTTAAATACATAGTTTCTTTTTTCCTCATAAGACATGATTTTGGAACCACTACCATTCTGCTTATCCTCCTTTGCAAGTATTCTCTTTTATCATCATCTCGTATAAATGATGGTTTATAGTTGCTACAAGTCTAAAACTATTTTTGAATAGGCCATAGTCTAAATAATTCATATCCATGATCTATCTCACAATTCATTTACAAATGAGTTCATTCTATGAACTATGTAACACTGTTACTTTCAAACTACTGAGAAGAAAATGGTGATATGCCAAGTTCACTCCACTTAAGATTGCAATTTTGTCACAATCCTATTTTGTATCATGAAACAAAAGTGACAAATTATGGAGTAAATTTTGTTAAAATATAACAAAACCATAGATTACTCAAGATAGAATGGAATTTAGAAACCATTTAATAAAAGCAACATAATCTAAAGAGGAGGAAATTGAGGTAAGATTGTTCATTTTACAGACAGGACCAGAAACCCTAGCAAAGGACCAATCTCCCTGTAGATAGGACTGCAAATCAGAAACTGACTTTAAAACTCATACTTTACATTTTAACTTCCTGACTTTAAAACTCATACTTTGCATTTTAACTTCCTGGGCTCCTTCTTTCTTATCTTAAAGGAAAATGCATGCCCCTTTTCCCTGTGGAAGGCAGTATTTCCCACCATCATGGATTTTCACTCCATCAATTATTTATAAAATCCTTCCTTCATACCTTTGTAAAACATTGTACCAACTTATTTTTAATATTAGGCATAAAAAGTTATCAAGTTAAGAAAAACATTAAAATAAATATAATTTCCAAAATGTCAGTGTTTTCTCAAAGCAAGCACTATCAGTATTTTAGGAAGGACAACCTTTCACGGTTTACGCTTTAAATGACATTTAGCATCCCTGGTTTCCGGGCACCAAATGCCAATACCACCCCCCAGACACTGACAATAAAAATGCACAGCCATATCTCACATCTGTAAATGCCAGGGATGAGAATTACTAATTTACATTAAAAGGAATTATTAATATACAAAAATTACCCGAAGCACCAGTTTTAATTGTTGTTTTTCCTTTTTTGCCTTCCTGTTGGTCCTTCAGAGTTTCATAAACTATCTGGATAACTGGAATACTGAAAGCCTATCAAAAAAACAACAGTTCTCTATATTAGTATTCAGATATTAATGACAGTTTATTCATCAATATAAATTACAAAAGTTATGCATGCACATTAAATAATTATACATATTCCAGATTGCTGCTCCAATTTCATTTGCCCAAATCTAAAATACCAGTAAGATAACACAGAGTTGACTGAATGAAGGAATCGGGAACCAGCTGACAACGCAAAACAATAAACAATGGGAACCTGCAGATTGAACCGAAACTAAAGAAACTAAAGAAAAAATATCGTCCAGTCTGACAAAGTATTTCTCTAGTCTCCGCCAGCAGGAGGTCAACCTCTATTTGCAACCTCTTTATTACTAGAGCCACTGCATTAAAATTCACAAGTGAGTACAAATACTAAAGATACTGTAACTCTTTCTCCCGTACCAGTTTAAAACAATATTCTTAAAGCCATACTGCTGTAGATCTTATTTCAGAATTAGCTGGCAACAAAAATACCAGTCTCAGTGGCAAGCAATCAATTCCTTACATTTTGGAGGAGGTTGCTTTATTAAATATTTCAAAGTAAAAACCACTGTTCAAAGCTGCTTTAAAAATCACCTCTTACAAAATAAGTCAATTTAAGTTTATTACTTACGCCAGTTTTTCCGCTTCCTGTTTCTGCAGCCTGAATGGGAAAAATAGTTGATTTTACAGTTTGTCAACGTAAGAAGTCACGTTAACGTGATAGCATGTAGACATCTTTAGCACCTGACTAGCCACCTTTATTTTCACAGGGCCTCCAGATTACCCAGGTTCCTCAGTCAACTCTGACTTCTCCCCTATTCCCTCAAGATCCTCTTCTCCCCTTTCTTTTCCCATTGGTACCATTCAAATCTAAGCCCTCATCATTCTAACCTAGATTATTACAAAAGTATCCTAACAGGATCTAATCTCTCAGAGCTGTACTTCAGGCTGCTACCAAATCAGTCTTCATAAAAACAATTCTAACCACGTAACACACCCCTACTTAAAAATTTCCAGTGATCCCCACTGCCAACAAATAACCGAATTCTTTAACATGACGCTTGAGAAAGAACCCAAATAATCTGACCACTATATATTTCCTATCTTATCTCAAGTTACACCCCACCAGTCACCTATATTTTATGCTTCCGTCTAATTAAACTACTCTGGGACAATATCCTGCACTCTCCTATTCACTGTTTTTGTTGATATGCTCTCTACCTAGAGAGTATTTTTCTTTCATCTTCCCTTGTCCAAAATCTACTTCCTCCAAGCAGAGTCCCTTATGATCCCTCAAGAGAAGGATAACTGGACCCCCACGTGAATCCTGTAGTGCTCTGCATCTCTGATGCAGATGCCGCATTCTCTCTTATATGATATTTATCTGTGTTCATCTTACTGTGCTACTGGGTTGAAGCTTCTTAAGGGCAAAAACTGCATCTTATTCACCCTTGTGTTCCCCACAACTTCTACCTGATACTTTGAATACAGTGTATGTACCCTAAATGTGAATAAATAAAATTAATTTGGTGAAAATATCATTTTTAAACCTATGGAGCTCTTAAAGCAGCTCACAAACAGCCCCAGAACTGTGCCCCTGGCTCCCAACCACCTCAGCAAATTTAAACATACCATAAGTACATCACCTCCTCCTAGGATCAATGGGATAGATTCAGCCTGGATATCAGTTGGGAGACTAAAAGAATCATGTTTTGAAGAATTTTAGTTAGTAAAAAACTAATTAAGTCATGTTAAACTATAAACCTAAAAGAGAATTTTATTTGGTAGATACTACCAATCTTTTTCAGCTAAAAATATATCAAAGCTTAGAAAGGAAACTTTCTATAATTGAGAGAATCACCAGAAAAACTGAATTCCACTTACACAACTAGACCCAAAAACATCTGATAAAATCAATGACAACTGTTTAAATTATAAAACGTTGTCACAATTTTTTTTGGTCAACTTGAAGCTTTATGTACTTACAGCCAATCCATCTCTTCCACAGCTTGTGCAATCTCAGGCATAACACCCATTTCTGCAAATAAAAATTAATTTAAAAAATCACACATGCTAAACTTAAATCATACTGCTCTTAAAATGACCGTTCACAGAACAGAGAGAAGGCTTTGAAGCACAGCTCAGTGATATCGAACCTCCTGAGTGTGCCACTGTTGGAAGATTGTAAGTTCTAGAGAAAGAGAAGTTCAAATCAAGCTCTCACTTACTAGCAACGTGACCTTGGACAAGCTAGAAACCTGTTTTCTCTATGCAATATGACCTACCTTGTAGGGATACGGGAAGATGATAGACAATAATATGTAATGCATCTGGCACAGAGTTGTTACTTAACACAAGTAGCCACCAGTGAATGTTTCTTTCCTATGACTAGTGAAAAATCTGCCAGTGTTAGAGAGAGGGTTCTAGACCAGCACTTAGTTGCTTCATCTAGAGATAATGTGGCAGGCCACGTGCCTTGGCTACTTGAGGACCATGTACATACGCTCAGGAATCTGAGAAAAATTAACAGGCCAGTGGAGAGAATCCACATTTATTGGCAGCCATAATCAAAACTCTAGTTAACTGAAAAGGGAGGGGCCAGTGGTGAAAACTTGGGTAATTGGATATATCAGCTGAAGAACTGCTCTGTTCTTAATTGTTCACATATTTAAATAATTCTACTTCAAAGCCAGTCCTAAATGAATAGATTGAGTTATTTCTGATTAGATTTTGTCTATCATTTCTCAAATGAAGTGTAGAGAGTAGTTATACATGGAGTAGTCAGATTATTTAAACCTCTTTCCCAAATAAGAAGTGATTTTTAGTTGAAGTCTGCATTTATAAAAATGCAGATTTTATTATCGTCATCATTACGAAAGGATATATTCCCATTAAAAAAATTAACAATATTCAAACATTCCCAAGCCTCACAGATAATCAATTTGGAAATTTTGTATTTTTTGTAATTGTTTGCAAAAAGGCATAAACAAATCTAAAAATTGAATATATCCATTCCAAAAGCAGCTTTTTCTTTGTATCAGGTGAGAAGAATCATACTAGCAATTAACACAATAGATACAACACTAAAATTCTATAACCTATAATTAATATAACTATATTGAACTATAGTTAATATAAACATTGATGACACGGGAAAGTATAAGTCTTTTTCAAAAAAGAAGGCTCTCCTACCTCTAAATCTCCCCAGGAAAATCCACAGGTCAAAAAACCAATCAAGATCTAAAGTTGTATATCCAAGCAAACCTTTCTAAGAAGTGCCCCCATGAGAGTCTAGCTGTATTCTCTCTCCTAAAATGCAAACTGGTGGAAAAAAGGTGGTGATGTTCTTAAATATGCTGCATACAGAACAGTGCAAGCTGAAGCCACTTGTGAAACTGTTATATGGCAAGCAGCAACCACCCACTGCTTGCAGCAAATTCCAGACAACTTCTTGTTCCATTCTGGTCGTGTTCTCTGTATGTTTGTTTTGAAACCATGTTGTCTTTAAATCTAACATTTTCAACACTTAAGGGAAAAAGAGGAATAGTCATGTTCTTTAATTCTACTTTTGTCTTTATTTCCTATCACAGACTCTTCTAGTCCTTTACCCTAACATTCCTGAAAGTTGTGCATGACTCCCAAAGAAGTGAACCTATAAAATGACAACCTGGATGTGCCCTACACAACTTGGCTCAAAAATCTTGTTTTAAGAGAGAGCTGGGAAAAGAAAAACAGCTGCCACTCTGAGTAGATTTCCTCTTGCCTCCCGTTATGAGATGCAACTAAAACAACCAGAAATCCTTTCTCATGACTAAAGACTTGGAATTCCTAATGTTCTTATAGGAGAAAAGTTGAATAAAGCACAATATTATGTTATAATACCTGAAATCATCTTAATAGGTTAAGAACATTAAACGATAGTAGGCCTAACTTGATACCTTTACTGCTATATAAATTTAGCACGTTTAGGCTTGCTATGTAAGGCTTATTGCAGCTTCCTAAAACTGTGGATGTATAAAGGGAAGATGATAAAAGAAGAGGGAAAAAACGACAACTGTTGGGTTGGAGAAGCCATCTCAAATTCCTGTTTGGAATAAAGCGGGGTATCAGACAGCAAATAATTTTCAAAATTTATGTTGGGCTAGTGCACATGCGGATGAAAATGCTTTCCCTTTAGCTTCAATATTTAACGTTAATGTTGATATAATAGGGTTTAACAACAAATAAATATCATCAGGTTTGGGCCCGGGACTTTGATTTTGGGAAGGACCTGAAAAAACTGGGCAGAGGCAGGATCCAGCTCCCCGCGGCCCCATCCCCGCGCCCTGCAGCTTCCCGGCCTGGCCAAGCCCCGCTGCCACCCGGCGCGGCCAGAAAAAGGCTCCCGACGCCGCTGCCACGTCCGGAGGCAGGAGGCCTGGGCTCCGAGAGCAGCCAGAGCCATCGCCGCATCCTTCCCGCAGCCCGGGCGCTCCGGCAGGAGAGCCGTGGACAAAGAACAGAAGGAGCAGGGGCCCGGCCGGGCCGGCACCTGGAGGGAAGGCCCTCCCGGCGACACGGAGCGCGCCGCCCGCGCCTCCCGCGGCCGCCACCGTCCCCCCGCAGCCCGGGGACCACGGGCGCGCCGCGGACAGCGCCCCCGGCACCGCGCGGCCCCTGTGCGCCCCCGCCCCGGAGACCCCGCCAGCTGCCCGAGGGCCAGGCGTGGATCGAGCCGCCCGCACCAGCCCCCGCTCCACGGACGCACCGGAGAAGGCCGCCATCTTCGCCCCGTCCGCCGCCGCGCCGCCCGCTCGCCCTCCCTCCGCACTGACACGCCGCGCGGTGCAGGGCGCGCTTCCGGCCCTCGGCCCTCGGCCTTCCGAGTCCGGGTGGGGCCCCAGACCCCGGAGAACGGTTCCCGCCAAAGAAATGACCGGTCCGGGAGCCCAGCGCGGACCCAGTTCCGCTGGACCTTGCCTTCCATCAGTAACCACGACCGGCCATCATTAGCCGCAACTGACAGTTCCCATTTCTTTAGAGCATGCTGTGTGTCATCAGGACCACTTTTCCACATATAAAGAAGCAGACGTTACGTGACGAGGGTCACACAACAGCCCAGGCTGATGGACAGCAAAGCTGTGCCCCCTCGGCTGCCTCACTGAGCCCCCACCCTCGAAGACCGGCGGGGCTGTGGCGTGAACGAGCGGGAGGGAAGGCCTGAGCTCGCTGCCCAGACAGCCAAGGCTAGTGAGCGCCTGGCACCCCACAGGCGTTTACTGAAAAGTTTTGACCGAAATAAGTAATGATTTAGGTCTCCCTTCCCCAGTGTTGGATGCAGCGTTGAAAATTTCAGGTTTATTTGACCTCCGTGAACTTTTGACTCCTTTCTCTTTGCACAGAGAGAGAGGAAAAGCAAATGAATGATGGATCCTCCCGACAACTCTGTCAGGTGTATTAGTATTTTTAGGTGAGGACACATATTCAGGAAAGTTAAATGACATCTAAAGCCACACAGCTACTGAATGGCAGTGTGAGATCTGGGCCACATCCCCCTAGCTCCTGGGTTCACGCTGTGGCGTCTGTAGCCTGGCACAGAAGGGCATGGAGGAAAGTGAAACCCTCAGGCAAGATGTATGCGCAGAGTTAGAAGTAAGTTCAGGAGCCATACTCCCGGGGTGTGAATTCTAGCTCTGCCATTTGCTAGCTGTGTAACCTTAACAAGTCTAGGCTTCAGTTTGCTCATCTGTAAAACAGACATGAATAATAGTACCTGTCTTGTAGGATTGTTGTGAGGAATTAAATAGGTAAAGCACCTAAAACATAGCACATGGTAACAATATGTGAGTGTCGGCTCTATTATTGCCATTACATGTAACAGGACTCACCTGAAGCTCCAAGGGGCCAGGACAATACATTCAGGCCTGCAACTTCACACCTCCAGGGGGCACCATTCACCTTAGAGTCTATATTCTCATTATATTTTATATAAATGTATATAAATGATACCCCTGAGAGTTACGCAATGTAGCAGTTCTGAATACATGCCACATACCCCACATTCTAAAGACAGGCACAACATCACATATTATGCGGGACTCGCAAAAGGGAAATCTGAAATCTGATTTTTGTACCTTCAGCTAATCCCTAGCTTAAAAGTACAAAAGGATTGAAGGGGCAAGTTAAGAGAAAAGATTTCTCTGAAGAAAGTTGTTGAAGCACTGTGCCATTTTTCCTCTCTCAAGGGAGAAAGTGTTTCCAGGGGACTCCCCAGAGAACTTCTGATCTCTGGAGTCTGGGAAGCACAAGGCTGCTCCAAGGAGCTGGGGCTGGAAAGCCCGAGGTGGCAGGGCAGGAGAAGAGACAGAGGGAGGGAGAGGGCTGCTAGGAGAGCAGACGGATTTGCAACTATGGAGAAATGTGTGACTCTTCCCCCAGGGCTAACTGGACCTGTGGAGAGTGGACTTCAAGCTATCTTCAAAGGGTATGTGCCCAAGAGAGCTGCCTAAAGAAGCTAAATGATGCAGCAGACAGACCCCCAAAGGACCCTGTTGTGTTCACACCTTCTAACCAGAGGAGGGATACCACCTGCCTCGTGTGAGCTGCACTTGGAAGATACTAGCACAAGAATCTCCAAGATACTCACAAAGAGTACCTCCCGAGTGAAAGAATCAACCTGGGGCAGGATTGAGCAAGAACACCAGAATCAGATCACCACGGCACCAACCAGATAAAGGGGCATTACACACACATGCACGCACGCACGCACACACCCAGGCCAGATTTTATTCCTCTCCAAGGATCAGAAACAACAGCTCATGGGAGAGGGGAGAGCAGAGACTGACCACGCCCTGCACCCCATTGCCAAGCTGGGGAGGGAAGAAGCTATAATTTTTGTTAAAGACGTGAATTTTGATCATTACACTGGACTTGATAGTTTAATTGTAGAAATGAGGCTATAATTGTGATGAAAGTAACCTGGCAACTTTGCATTATCTGAGGGTGACCAGAAAAGTTCAGGAAGTTGCCAGAGGCTCCATCTAGGTCGGGGAAAGACAGAGCCCATAGAGAGGGTTGCAAGGTAACAGATCGTGTTTTCTGCTTATAACCTATCAAGTTTAGCTCATTTAATATACTGCTTTAGTAAATATAAATACAGAAGTGTGTGTATGTTAATACCCTCAGTAATGTGAATTGGGATAAAATGTGATTGGCTACCCTCCTTGGCAGGTAGGACAGGCTAGGCAGAGAAGTGGCAGGCAACTCTTTCACCAAACCAAGAGATAGAGGATGGGTGCCCCCAGTCCAGTATCCTGCTGGTCCACTCTCCTCAGAACAGGCTGACTAAATGGGCGCCTAGTAACAGGGAGACAGTCCTGGAATCCCTGCGTGGTCCCAGAAACGCAGCTACACAGATGGTTAGGTGGGAGGACAGATACCACTAGGTGGCGCCAAACCGCAGCTGAGCAGGGTGAAGTTCCAACTGGACTCAGAACTCCCCGCTGGGACATTCCCCTGACATTTATTTCTGTAACCTCACAATAACCCCACATTTGTGTAATGGGATCTTTTGGACCCCACTGCTCATGTTATGGTGAAGTTTCACTATATTATCCATGCACCCAGAGAGATTGTGCTATGTATTTTCAAGTTAGCTGTGCTATAGCCCATGCAGAACACATGATTTTGCCCCTGCTGAGACAGGCCTAAGAAATGTGCTCTCAGATATAGTGTAGAGAAGATGGGTCCTATGAAGGACTCGGTAGACTGGCCACACGAAAGCCACACACAGTCCCCTTCCCCTTGCCTTTCTCTATAATCCAGGCTGGGATAAAGAAAAAAAAACAATCACCTTTCCAGAGTCCTTTGCAGAGAGACATAGCCATGAGACCCAGTTCTGCCTGGAGAGATTTAAATGGAAGTCCCAAGTAGGGACTTTTTAAAAGGAAAAGACCTGACCAGCACGCGCTCTTCTTCCTCCTGGAACACAGACATGATGCCTGGAAAGGCAGCGATGAGTTAACGAAGATGAAAGCTTCATGCTAAGGCTCTCGAAGCAGAAAATAGAAGGAGCTTGGATCCTTGATGACAATGGTGAGCTAAGCTACCAACCCAGGTCTGTCTCCCTGTAGACCTCTTGTGGCTTGAGAATTCCTTATGTAGTTAAGCCACTGTTAATTCTCTCTTGCTTGCTGCCCAGCACATTCCTAACAGGTACAGAAAAGAAGGAGCTAAAACATTCACCAGTATGGATTTCGTGGAATGGATCGTTCAGAAAAATTTTTCAAATGTTCTAGAAGAGAGCGATAAGCAACCTATTCTGGCTATAAGGAGTAGGAGACATTTGGCCTCAGTCATGAAGGCACCATCAAAAACAATCCTTGAATATATGGTCATTTCCTCACAAGCAAAAATGAGGCTGAAATGTACCATATACAATGGAGAAAGTGACCCTGAATCCAGCCTAGGGAATAGAAATCAAATCAGGTTTTCTACTTTGTCCTTTCATTAACACCCAACTCCGTCCCCAGTCCCCATTCCAGCTCATTCTGGGACCAGATAAAGCAAGCTGCCTAGTTCCTAAGGATCCAGCCACCAGGAAGAAGGAAGCAGCCACATTTTAGTGTAAAAGAAGTTGATTAGAAAATACAATGTCTTCATTACATAAATGCCCCAAAGTCCTTCTTCACAATACGTGATACAAACCCACCCACCATTCCACACAAGTAACCACTGCTTCTCCCTCCTCATATGCTGCCCGGGAAGTTGGCCCTCAGATCTACAGGTCAGGAGAAGAGAAGGCTCGGCATGCTTGCTCTGGATCCCGAATCCTGCTATGAGCGGACTGATGTTGCAAACCTTCCATCAAGAAACCCTCTCCCCTTTGATTCAGCTCTTACTTGGGAAGGCTCCTGAATCCACCTTCCCTCAGGTGACATACACCAGACCTTCCATGGTCAGCCTCCTGCTTACTTCCAGCTTATACCCTGGGTTCATTTACCCTCCAGCATATCAAACTGTAGAATTCCTTGCATGCCCCAAATTGCCTCTCACGGCTGCCTATTTTCTTATGCTGCTTCCTCTCCCTAGAAGAGCCTTCCCCTTTTAGTTTCAGTTGTCTATTGCTGCATAATAACCCTAAAACAAATATGTGGCAACCAATTTATTTGCTCATGATTCTGAGTCAGGAATTTGGGCAGGGCTGAGCTGGCTGCTTCTTCTGTTCCCCATGGCATTACCTAGCGTCATTCCCTCAGCTGCGTTCAGCTGGTGTCTGGGCTGGGCTGCAAGGTCTGAGAAGACTCCACTCCCGTTTGTGGTGCCGCAGTGCTCCCATACGTGGTCTCACTCTCTCCACGTGGCCAACTTGGACCTTCTCACGGCAGGATTAGTCCCAGAGAAGACAGACTTCCTACATGGTGGCTGGGTTCCCAGAGGATATGTCCCAAAAATAGAAAGCAGAAGCTGCATATCTCTTAAGTCCTCCTTCGATGTAGCACAATGTCACTTCTGTTAAATTCTATCGGTCAATACAGGTCACAGGACCAGCCCAGATTCCTGAGGAGGGGAAGTAGGCTCTACTTCTTCATGCAATGAATGGCAAAGAGTTTGCAGCCGTGTATACTATACCTCATCTATCTTCTTGGCAAAGTCCTAATTATTATTCACATTCAGCTAAGCTACCACCTTGCAGCAAATCCTGATTAATGCCAGTCCCCAGCTAGCAAATGTTGCAACTTTACTTTGATGTTTATGTCTCTTTTGCCTTAAATTTCTGACTCTTAGTTGGACATATGGCTGCCCAGAATAAAGACTCCACTTCCCAGGCCCCCTGGGACTTAGATATGGCCATATGCC